TATTCTATTCTATTCTATTCTATTCTATTCTATTCTATTCTATTCTAAAGGTCCTCAGGTGTATCTCCATGTATGTTGGGAAAACATGATTGAAAAGATTGGCAATGTGATCTATAGACTGGAGCATTCTCTCATATAAAGTTACATTTAGGATGTTTTGGAGGATCATGATCACTATTATGCATGATAATTTTATCACAGGAATGCAGAATCCTATTTAATGTTGTGTTGCTATCAATACAGGAACCAAAAATGGAAAGCAACAAAAGCAAAGTAATCCTCCTTTCAAATTTTATGAACTAAGTTATCCTACAGCCTCAATTCTCCAGGAGATAATAGTCTAATAGTTTCAACACTTAAAATACTGTATAGATAGTTAATAACCAATCAATATATTTTACACAAAAATATAAGGGCAAGTAAATAATAAGTTGAGAATTAAATATGAAACAATAACATACAGTATATGAATTTAGTACATTATTCAATTCAAAGGGAAATAGGCAATTCAAGGAAAAATACATTGAATTCAAATGAGGGAAAGATAAAACAGGAATTCAGAAAGTAACAAAAATTTCAAGAAGTTGTTCATTCTATATTTCACCGATATCTTGTCATAACAAAGGCAGACAGAACTTTGGAGGTTTCCTGCCACACAAAAAAGAGAAAGAGAATTTGACAAGTGTCAATGTTTAGATACACTAAAAGGAGGACATCTTTTTCACAGAAATTGTTTCATTTGCTAGTGGGAAATAAATATATTGCTTTGGATATGCCTGTTCCATTGCCTTCTGGGTCAGGGAAAATGTTGGACTAGGTCACTTGGTTGGGTTAATGGCATTGTTTCTGGCTTGAAAAAGGGAATTGCCAACAATTAGGTAGTCCTGACAAGATTTTCCAAACTTAATTAAGTGGTCCTGATAAGATTTTCCAAACTTAAAATTAACAAAGAGGAAAAGTTGTTAAGTTGCTTCAAAGTATAAGACTATTGCTCTAACTAAGGAAAGTAATGTTGCTAGGACATTAGCAAGAAGCACAGAAGACTATGAATGTTGACCTATGGATGTATCCTTTCCACATCTGTCACTGTTTCATTAAGACTTCTCAACAATGCGAAATGCAGTGGCGGGGGGGTAGAGCTGGTGTCTCAGCGGTACAGCATGCGATCTTGAAGCTCCAAGATTGCTGCTGATATGTCTGTTGCAGGAGGGTCCCACCGGACATAAACCGTCCCGTAGAGACGGTGATTGGGTGTTGGTAGAAGTTACCATGAACGCCCTTTCTATCTATGCTGTGAGAGAACCCAGGATGGGTTGACTTCCTATGACATCATCGCTGAGTCTGTACTAAGATATAAAAGCCAGCCCCCAGGAGAGACCCCAGCTTTGGCGAAGATACTTGACAGACTGAAAGGTGTCTCTGAAAGCCCAAAATAAATACAGAAATATGTCTTACCCTCTCCAGACGAATCAAGGGAGAGGCTGGGCAGCATAGATAGAAACGCCCATTCTCCTCCATGCTGCATCGAGAGCCCAGGATGGGACATACCAAAGCTTGCGTGTCCACAGGCGGATCCTCATCTGGCTCATCAGACCGACTGTGGAACCACTCGTTGAAGCACCCATCTGCCGAAGGCTGCAGTCGCTGAGGCAAAAGCATCCAGACAGTAGTGTCTGATGAAAGGAGACGGGGATGTCCACGTGGCCGCATGACAAATCTCCTCCAAGGATGCTTGGGTCACTCAGGCAGCAGAAGTGGCCACGCTTCTGATAGAGTGCGCTGTCAGACCTCGTAGAACCAGAAGGGCCGCAGCTTTGTAGGCCTGCTCAATGCAAGACCTGCCCC